AGTTACAAAGAGGGCAAGTCAAAATGTTCGGTTCTTGGATGTAGTGACCTGAAGCACTTCAAGGATCCCCACTTCAAAAACCTCCGCCAGTATAGAGAAGGGTTTGCCGATCGACTTCGTCTGAATGAGGGGTAAATTCCTTCTATCATTTAGCTGCTGTGTTTTCTGATGCTTTTCTACACGCAAGTTATTATATTATTATTAATACAGATTTTTAGTGGTAAGATCAGACCGCAGTCATTTATCTTGTCAGTGTGCTTGTTTTAACAAGAGAAATAGTCGACTTTCACTAATAACACAACATAGTTAACTTAGATACCACTGCATCCATATGAAGACGTTGTTCTGCAGGTTCGTCATTGTCTTTTTCAACTCGCTCGCTCTGGCTTGAATATGTAAGGCTTGATGGACAAGTCTTCCGTTGTTGACATTTTGTTAACGAGTGACTAAAAATGTTCTTTGAAGCTATAGTATATAATCGTATATCTCTTATCAAACTACAATAATGGCCGAACGCGGGGAGTTGAACCGAGTGTGAAAAGACGCAACTCCTTTTTATTTAAAGGGGCCGCTTTGAAACGGGTCACTCACAGACGCACATCGGAAAAGGGGTAGAAAAGGGGCTTGTGGAGCTATAATAATGAGGAATTCAGACCCAAGCATTGCAGTTATGTTTTATATAGACCACAAATGTATGATTTATAAGTAAAAATTAATGATTTAAAAGCATGATATGTACCCTTTAACTTGATCAAAAGTGACAGTAAATACATTTAAAAAGTTACAAAACATTTTATTATAAATAAATGCTGTTGTTTTGAACTTTCTATTCATCAAAGAATCCTGACACAACTGGTTTCAACATTGAAAAAAATAAAAAAATAAAAAATTCTTTTAGCAGCAAATCAGCATATTAGAATGATTTCTGAAGGATCATGTGACACTGAAGACTGGAGTAATGATGCTAACAAAAGCAAATTTGCATCACAAAAATAAATTACATTTTAAAATATAATCAAATAAAAAACAGTTATTTTAAATTGTAATAATATTTCACAATATTACTGTTTGTTTTGTATTTTTAATCAAATAAATGCAACCTTGGTTAACATAAGAGTCTTATTTAAAAAAAATAAAAAGGTAGTGTATGTAGACAATAATTTAACCCAATGAACATAATTCACTTTCTAATTATTCACCCATTTTTTGAGGAATAGAAACCTTATTTACTAAAATAACGTATTCAGAATGACAACTGGTGCGACATTCAGAGATATAAAATAAAAAAGTGAAGAAAAAAAACCCATTTGTATATACTTACTGAAACCAGTTGGTTACAGTCATCATGACGTAGAGGGAGCCGAGGAAGAAAACAAAATGGAAGTACCAGTAGCTGTAGATTGTGCCATCTTTCTCATCATACTTCACACTCTGCCCTCCTGCGGTCTTCTCATCATCATAATCTTCTGGAAAATATGCATATATATACACATATATAAAAAATACCCGTTTTAAGAAACCTGTAGTAATTCTTCTTCACCACCTAGAGGCTCCATCTACCCTTTTATCCATCTAGACCAGTGGTTCTCAAACTTTTTCAGGAGGAGGCCCCCTTGTGTAGGGTGAATCCTTTTGTGGCCCCCCAAAAGAAAACTCATGACGAAAACATCCTCAAACGTACAATTTTACTTACAAATTTTAGATTGTACCAAAAACAAATGAATTTGTACAATGCTGGAACAACAGTTCTGTTTTTAGCTTTATGTCTTTGAATATACAAAATTAGTTAAATTGTACATTTCATTAAATATAACATTTTTTTTATAAAAAATGGTTTTGACAGTTAACAGTAATATTGTCTGAAAAGTGCGACAAAAGTATTGAATACTGAACATTTGTGATGTTCATAGTAAAAGATAAACACTGAAAAATTAATTTGCTGATTGTAAAAAAGTGCATTAAACTTCTTACATTTTAAGGTAGTAAATGACAGTGGCTCAAGTTTGGTTTGCAAATTTGAACAGCAATCTGTTTTTTCAGCAAGAAACAAAAAAAAAATTCTACTCTACTTAAAGAAATACTTTTTCAATATAGAAGACATACAATTTTATACAAGTTTTACAATATAAAAGAAATCATGCAATGCAGATTTCACATAGGACAATCCAAACTTACATACAGGTAAAATAGTTTTTTTAAATAATTTCATATTCTAGAATTTCTTTGCGGCCCCCCTAGCGCCCCCAGTTTGAGAACCGCTGATCTAGACCATCCAAAATAATATTGAAAATGGGTTATTCCTAAATCTTCAAGTGATCTCCTAAATACTAAAATTGGTGTAGGTTAAAATAAGCATCTTGCCTGTATCATCAACACAGCAGAAGCAGCAGCGGGCTCTCTGAATGAAAAAAAAAAGAAAGAAGAGATGGCATGATTGATGATTTAGTTTGATGTAATCAAACTAAGAGAGAAACAAAGGTAAGCAAACGTTCACCTCATTTTCAGGCATGTCGTTCCTGTACACTTGCAAGGCTGCTGAACTCCTCTTGGTGGTGGAGATCAAACTGGAGGGAAAGAGTATTTTTATGTCAAGTCAAATTACATCAGACACATGGGGGCAGTGTTCTTTTTTTAACCATCAAATGTAAAAGCAGAACATTCCCAAGACTACAACTCATCAAGACAGAACCAGACGAAAAAACAAGTCAATTTTTCTGGAAATATGGCAAAAGCATTTCGACTGGAGACACCACAATGAATCACTGGGCTGATAACTAACACATATCGCTGTGAATCACATATGTGTGTAAATATGGCTGGTGGAAAGGAGCGGCTCTAAAGAGAGAGCTTCAGTCAGCAGACATGTCTGCAGTTAATGAGAAACACATGTGCGTTCACGTCTTGACAGTTTGAGAGCTTCTAATCTTCACTCCCTTCCGACCAGACTACCTGCTTTTAAATCTAAATGAACATCTTGTCATAGCCAGATAATTACGTGTTTCTATTCCTCCTGGGTTAAGTTTTTGGGATCACCCATTTAAATGACATGTTATGGGGATTTGCATTCAGACTAAAAACATCTGAGCATATTTAAAGGGACAGTTACACACATACAGTACAACATACTGTCGTTTATGCATCTTTGCGTCTTTCCAAACTCTATTATATTTTTTCTTCAGTAGAACACAAGGTTTGGTTTGATTATGAAAGAACAAAACTTTTGGAGATTTTTTTTAAAAAAATTTACGCTCAAATATTCAGAGGAAATTACTTCAACTGAACTACTTTTGGAACAGTGTATGATTTATATGGACTAAGATATATCTTGTATTATACTTTTATGTTTTTTTTGTTTTTTTTAGAATGCGGTTTAGATTAGGGCCATCACAATATCAGATTTTCCGAACTTCGAAGAAAAGGTTAAATAGAACCTTAAAGGGTTCTGTCAGGTGCTTCATTTATATAGAACATTTTAGGATTTTCCATCTTGGGATCATTTTATGGATTTAAATGTAATTAATCTTGATGATTAAAATTATAAAACATACATACTGCCTGTTCAACATGAAAGTATTATGCAATCATTTAAGAAATTTCTCCTTATTTAGACCCTTTTTGGCATTAAATTTAAAATTGAGTAAAGAACCCAACAGTTCTATATAGAACCCGTGACGGAAATGTATTATTTAATGTCTGATTTAAAGGATACTTCAACATGGAATGTGCAAAAAAGTGCAGACTTGGTCAAAGACCATGTGTACAGTATCAATATAATCTAGACTTACCCAAAAAGTGCTCAACACAGTAACTCAGTCATATGATGAGCTTAGATCACTACAAACCAATCAGTATAACCAATCACAATAAAGTAGACTTGAAGTGACATTGATTTCTACTTAACTGTAAGATATAAATGTACATTTCTGGTCAGAGAGTCTCTCTAGCTTGTTGTAACCAGTGAGCTCCCAGCTGTGAATACAACTTTTATTCCCACAAAGAGCAACTTGTGCTCAACACAGTAACTCAGTCATATGATGAGCTTAGATCACTACAAACCAATCAGTATAACCAATCACAATAAAGTAGACTTGAAGTGACATTGATTTCTACTTAACTGTAAGATATAAATGTACATTTCTGGTCAGAGAGTCTCTCTAGCTTGTTGTAACCAGTGAGCTCCCAGCTGTGAATACAACTTTTATTCCCACAAAGAGCAACTTGGGAGTCGTGTCTGGTGTTCAGAGAACCACAGCAGGGTCAGTGATAGTGTTGTGAGGTACTGTAATACACTGTCGGGCCAGCGTATACCTGAGAAGAGTGTATAGATGCTAAAGACCTGGTGCTCACGTGTGGTTTGGGGTAGTGATAGTATCTTCTTGATGGGACGCCGTCACCATACTTCGGGAGGGGAATTACTTCTAAGTATAGTATTGTATTGTATGTGTTCGGGAAGGGAATTACCCAGAGACACTGCTGTATTATATTGTTATATACAGTATTTGGGATGGGAATTGCCCAGAGGTACTGTAGTATTGTTTTATATTATATTGACAGCTGGAGGTTGTTCAAATTGTTTATGGTGAAGAAGTCAGCTTCCTAGGTATTCATATAAATAATTTCTCATAAATTTTTTTTTTTTTATTTGGTACCGCTTCCTTTTACAGTACAGTACTTACAGTGTACTTACCTAGAAAGTACTGCTAATATAAGGTAAGTACATGGAACAGGGGTAGGTTCAGGGTTAGTACTAGTTATTACCCAGTAATTGTAGTTACTAAAATAAGTACATAGTATTTACATGGGTAACTAGACTGTGTACAGTTTATTTCGGCACTTCCTGCAAACTGGGTTATCTTTTTCTAACTCTTGTGGGGTATAGGTAGTGTGTCTTGTTTTTGTCTGTCCTCTCTTCTGACAATTTTACACATTGTGTCTTCTTTTCTTTTTTTCTCTTATTTTACAATTGGTGGCAACAAGATTAGTTCCTGGCACTGGAATATTTACAATATTATCAGATGTGTATTATTATAACGGTAATCACAGTTATCACCAATACCGGTATAGATCTTGGATTTTTTTTATGAATTATTCCTTTAAGGTGAGGCTGAGAAAACAAAATTGCTCATACCAAGAGTACAGTATACAGCCGAACAGTATGACCGTTCCGATGCCCGTCACTATGTTAGTGTCGCTCTTCAGTCCTGATTTAAAGGGAAGAACGCAGACAGTGACATTGTATCCGTTTTCCTCCACCGCTGAAAGAGACAGAGCACAGGACTGATTTTAATAAGTTGCATCACTGAAGCCTCTGTTTACGGCTCTGTCCACACCACAGACCACTGAGAGGCACACCCAGGACAGAGTTAGAGTGTGAAAGCGAGAGTATTTTTACTCACTTTCAATGGGTTTGCTGGCGAGCGCTGAGAAGGTGAGGTACATGACATAGACGGTGATGATCGCGGGCTGCAGCAGACCTGAGGTGGGCTGGACTGTGTGGAGAACCGAGCAAAACATCAGATTTGTTGGTAAATAGGAGCACATACAGATTTGTACTGTCTGTTTGAGTGTGGCTTATTCATACATCATGTATTTGGGGTTGAGGTTTGAGGTTGGTAAGATTTTGTAATGCGTTTGAAAGATTATGTTCACCAAGGCTGGATTTATTTGATCAAAAATACTGTAAAAACAGTAAATATTATTACAATTTAAAATAAATTATCTATTTTAATATATTAGATTTAATATATAGCTGATTTTTTTGTTTTATCATTTATTGTTATTATCAATGTTGAAAACAGTTGTGCTGCTTCATGTTTTTGTGGAAATACATCATTGCCGAATAAAAGTCTTACTTTAGTTTAAAAAAAAAGAAAATGGACATGATACTGTATATCAGTAGAGTATATTTAATTGTTCATGATTATTTCCTCTAATATCGGTGATCCCGATATTTAGATCACCTTCGTTCAGTGAACACTTTAATGTAATCTTTAACAAATCACAATATATGAATATACAATATCCTCTCAATTTTCCTACTGTACATTATAATGCTATGATGTCTATAACAGTGTTGGGTAAGTTACTCTAAAAAAGTAATTAATTACCTCTTCAACAGTGTAATTAGATTACTGTACTAATTACTCTCTAAAAAGTATTTAATTACTTTTAATTACTTTCAAAATCCCATATCAATCTCAACCAGCTGAATAATACAAGGATAGACATGATGAATCTGTGTTAATTCTTTCAAATAAATACTATAAAATTGCATGAATTATCCTTAAACTGACCAAGGTGGAAAAGGTTTTAAAAACATACTTTTTAACATCAGACAATACATTTTGATGTTAAACCCACTATTGTTTTTGTTGTTTTCACACTTTTTTCATACATATTTTACAATAATTCATAAGAATTTGTACGAGTGTGGTCGTACGATTTAGACACCTCATAAAATGCATACGAATCGCTGTGAGATCGGATTGATCTATACACAGTATTTTCCTGAATTACATCAGAAGTAACTGTAATTAAATTACAGATAAATGAAGAGTAATCCCTTACTTTACATTTTCAAGGGAAAAGTAATTAAATTACTCCGTAATTAGTTACAGCCAACACTGGTCTATAATCACTTTTAGCATTTAAAACGATTGATTGTATCGTGTGACGAAAGTGTATCTTTAAATTACTTTCTTACTCAGTTTCACCTTTAAAAGTTGGTTTGTTTAGTGAGAATCCATGATAATTAAATGTATAAAACTCTCCGGCTTGCACAAACATGGGAACAGCTCCAGGCACTATGAATAAACTTGTTTGCCTGACATCAAACAAACATCTGCTTGTTAGTACAAAAAGTGGGTCACTGAAGCCCAAGCATCTTGGTAAACTCACAGGTCTGAATGCAGGGCGAGATGGCCAGCAGGGACACGATGAAGCACAGGCCACAGTTGACTCCCAGGAAGAGCTTGTTGAGGAAGCAGGCCTCTGGGTGCGTGTAGAACTTGATCATAAACACCATGGCTCCCACTGCCACGGAGAACAGTGCCAGTGTGACAAAAGCCAGTGCTGCATACCACATTTTATTATATTTGGCTCCTGAGCTCCTGTGGAGGGACACATTGGAGACGGTTCAAAGGAGTGCTCGTGGGTTCAAAACAACTTTGTGGCATGATGAAAACAATTGTGTCCCTCTGTCTATAAAAAAAAATTGCAGTTAGACATTTTGGCATCACTTTATTTTACAGTTCCCTTATTACACGTTACTTGTACTGATAGTTACTATATTAATAACTACAAATAATACTTACATGTGTAAACTTACATGAAACTAACCCTCAACATAATCCTAACCCAACCCTATCCACAAGTTTCCGAGGGGCGCTCCTGTAAAAAAATAAAGTGGGTGAAACTTCCGGTGAGGCGGCGGAAGTAGCATTCCAATGGTATTTTGCGTGTTAGTTAGCGAAGAGGCTAGCTGTTTTTCGGAGAATTATTTTACTATTTAAAGACGCAAATCTTTATGAGAGATGTCGTTACGGAGCTCAGGGACAACATGTGCTGTTCGCGGTTGTATGTATAGCCGGACTAAACTAATTTAGTGGCTTAAACGGAATTGTTTTGAACATAAGCCGAAAACGAAATCAGAGTGATCCTGCCAACAACCGTAGTTTCCATCACCTCCCAAAAGACGACGAATCTTCCTGTGTACATTTGTTTAAATTCTTAATGTTTTATAAACTCTATCAGCATGTGTTTGGCTGTTCGCTACTGATGTTACACCTAAACTCAGGATCAAAGCCTGTGTTGACAGAATATCAAATGTGCCAGTTAATGTATTCAAGCAGCACATTCATTTATAATTTTGAATAAACTCCAAAGCACAATGACTAAGTGTGTATTTTTTATTTTAATTGTTTGTCAGCTCGCACAACTGTCTGTCACCATGCCTTGATGAGTATTGATTATTAATAATGTTATTATAATACTCCCAATCAACTACTGCGGAGGGTAAAGGTACTGTTATTTCACCCTTTTGAATTTCGTTGAGGTTGTGTTCCCACATCGTTAGCTAGTTTGGATCGCTATAACTTGAATGACTGTCAACTGTTGAATGAACGAGTGTCAAGCATGTCAAATCGCGCTTTGTTTACTTCCAACCGGAAGTCGCGCCCACTTTTGACGCAAGGCCTCATGGGGCGTAGGAAACTTGTGGATAGAGTACTATTACTCTGTACTTAAGTGCATAATTACTAGGGCTGGGTAATAAATATCGATTTCTCGATATTAATCGATTCTCATTTTTATGAACCGATATCGATTCTTAAATCTCAAGAATCGATTAGTCATCCTGTTTCTTTTGAATTAATGGGACATTGTATCGCGGCTGCGCGCATCCAAAAAAAATCGCAATAATCTTTGTCCTTTGTTACTATTGATATGAAACAAAGTCTCAATTTTCAAATTACGTCTATTTTCTTTAGAAATTCAAAAACATTAATAGCGTTTTGGCGTGAGATCGCTCTGGCGCAGCTCAAGAGAAGCAGCAGCGCTGATCTCTCTTCCGGGTTAATAATACCATTTAGAGCGCGAAATAAACATGAATGAGCTTCTGAAAGTGTGTTAAAAGATAGAGTACAACTTATCGAAATCCGTATCATGTCACATTGATTCGCTCAACCGTGGAAAGACGTCAGTTAAACAGCTTGTAATCAATGTATCGTCATATTTACCTCAGAAAACCCACATAAACTCGTTAGTCAGCTAGAAAAAAATAACTCCAGAGAGGAGCATTTTGCTAAATATACACACCATATTACATATGCATTATAATCTTAATGTTCTTCAATATCTAATGCATATTTGAATAAATCTGGCAAGTTTTTATGACAGCCACCATTTAAATGTTTATATTTCATGTAATCTTCTTATTATAAAAATAAATAAAAGTGTAATTTAAGTGTTTGTATGGCTACAAAACAGTTCATTATTGACTTCATATTAGGCTAATGAAGCCTATTGGCTACAACTAGACTCCCATAGTTTACAGCATTTAAGAGATTTGATTCCCTTGAGAAAAATGGCCATTTATTGTAACTGATATCCAAAATAATCAATATTGAATCGAATCGTAATCGAATCGAATTGCAAGCTTGTGAATCGAATTGTGAAATTTGTCTCAATACCCAGCCCTAATAATTACACTGTAACACTGACACCTTAAAATAAAGTGCAATCCACTTTTTAAGGTGTCCCTGTTACAGGGTAATAATATATTTAAGTACTGAGTAATGCTAAAAAACAACGCATACTTACTATAAGGTTTGGTTTAAGAATAGGGTTTGGTTTAGGGTCAGTTCGATGTAATAATCATGCATAATGTACTATTACCACAATAAGTACGTGTAACATATGAAACAAGCCAAGGACACTAAAATAAAGTGTTACAAAAATTGCAATTACGAAAAAAGTACTTAAATGGAGGTACAAGGAGGCAATAAACATTCAAATAAACAACAGTGTAAATCTTAAAAGTCTCTAAAAATGTTAACAATAGACAAATGTGTTAGAATTGCATAATGTCTGTTATATGAAGTCTTTCAACGCCATTATCAAGATTGGGCCAGATTTACAGCGCAATTCCAAAATAGCACCGAAAGCAGTAGAAAATTCTGTGTGTGATTTACTGACGACGACATGCAAATTAAAGAACACAGACGCAACTGGATCATTTCCATAATGACCAACGTTCATTCCTTTCATAAGATAAAAGCTCTTCACTGTAGACATTCCTTCAGATCTAGATCTCAAATCCATAGCTAATATTCCCTATCACACATTGTGACCCAGAACCGCCCGTTTAGACAAGAAGGGGTCTTCTTCGGGCCAACAGGTAACACAAACCATTTAATCTGAAATCAGGTAACACTGAGATCAATTTGGGGTTGTTAAGATTTTTTGAGCATTGGTGAAAGTCTCATATGCTCACCAAGGCTGCATTTTCTAATCAAAAATTTAGTAAAAAAAAAAAAAAAGTAATATTGAGAAATGTGATTATAATTTACAAACTTGTTTTTATCATATACTATAACTTATTCCTGTGATGGCAAAGCTGAATTTTCAGCAACCATTACTGCAGTCTTCAGTGTCACATGACATTTGAATTTGATTTTATGACTTTTATACTTTATACACTGTACTTAATGTTTTTACTGTCAATTTTGTAAAGATCTTACTGTATATTGTGGTTTGTGGGTATGCCATCCGAGGCTGAGTCTAAGGTGGACCAGTGAGCAACTCGAGATCCTGATGTTTGTCTCGCTAATGACCTATAACTGTTGTGTTCCTTCAGCTGTTAAATCAAGATTGCCCCAAGAGACTTTTACTGAAATTCATCAACTGTAAGTCACTTTGGATAAAGAGACACTGTTAAATGACAAGTTAGTCTCAGCGGTAGAATGCTTTTATCATAAATGTACCATATCGGTGCATGATAACTATGACTGAGTGAGCAGGGTGAGGGAATGTTTCAGTAATGCACATAAGAAGTGTTGACAGCAGTGACTTCCATCTGCTGGGCAGCCCTCCAGCGTCTGCTTCATTTCAACATCTCCATGAGGAAATACTGGATTTGGCTTTTATTATAAATATATACATATTATGCTCATCAAGCCTGCATTTATTTGATCAACATACAGAAAAAACTGTAATATTGTGAAATATTATTACAATTTGAAATAATGGTTTTCTATTCTAATACACTATAAAATATATACAACAAAAAAAAAAATCATCAGCCATTACTCCAGTCTTCAGTGTCACACGATCCTTCAAATATCATATGTATTATATATATATATATATAATACATATGATATTTGAAGGATTGTGTGACACTGAAGACTGGAGTAATGGCTGATGATTTTTTTATATATATAATACATATGATATATATATATATAATACATATGATATTGAAAAAAAAAAACAGAGGGGGGATGTTTTGAAACATTTTTATTCAAAAATGTTATTCATTTATGAGAAAATGAACTTTATCACTGCATTTGCAGGAATTGTAAATTATTATTTTTACTTATGATGAAGTAGCTACGCAATGTTTTTACTCTAATAGCTTATCTTTCCCCGCACATATGAACTGTGATCATGCACAACGAAAAAACGTGCTATTAATAAAATAAAGAAATATATCAGCCTCTGCTGAACACGGATTGATTGCAAAGTTAACACACCGCTCCACTGCCCAGCGGACCTGCAACCGTCTCGCAAGTGTTGATAGGCTATTACTCGTGAGGTGTAACCAATCAAATAGCGCCGTGGATAGGACATTGAGTTGAATTGTGATTACAGAGAGGCTGCAGCAGCTATAGTAGAGCCAGCCAAAGTAGATCATTTTAAAATAAAATTGACTTTAATCAAACCACGGACCCGTGATAAGTTTTGTGATCCGTTACTAGTGTAGAAGCACTGATCACTTTGAGGGGGGGGGGATAAAAATAATTAAGCAGGGCCAGGGATACATTGATCAGAAAGGGGAAATCCCCCACCCCCCCAGGAAATCGCACCCTGTGTGTGTGTGTGTATATATATATATATATATATATACAGTATACTGTATATATATGCAAACCAGACTAAATCTAACTTTAAAGAACTTTTTTGTTTTCAGAATAACTGATTTTATAATATAAATATATCTATATATATATATATATATTTTTTTTTTTTCTTCTTTTTTTTTTTAATCAACATTTGAATCATAAATGTCCCCAAAGGGCGGTTTTGTCAAATTAAAGCTACTTCTTGGGACATATTTGACGCATTACAAAATTCCCTGTGACTGTCTTGAATGTTTCTGCTCTTTTGTGCTGAGGTTTCCATTTGTTGAGCAAAGAGGAAACTATGATGCACATTGAGCTCTGCCATGGGTTTCCTGTCAACAGACTGGAGAGCAGCCAAGAACCTCTTACTTTCAGAAGGCCATACAACACACAGGGCCATACTCTACCGCCACAACACACAAATCTCTGGGTGTGTTCATAAATAATGTGTGTTGTGGCGGTAGAGTATGGTCTTATGTTTTGCTGTTGACATTATAGGGAGGAGAAAGCTCCCTATAATGAAAGCATCATAGGGAGGATTTTTTTTTAGCGTGACTGTCTCAAAGTTGAAATGTTTCATGTCTTGAAAACTCCCACCGAAACAAAACGCTCTGGTTCTTGGAATGAGAACTTTAAACAACGCTTTAACTGTTACTGGTATGAAACCTGCTCAGCTTGTTGTTGAAACTGGAGGTTGTGGGAGTGAAAGCAGCACACAAAATGTGATTTGTACTTCACACTTTGTCCTCCACAGTGCCAGTGACTAAAATAAAAAGCAAGTACAGTAAAACTTTCCCCAAATCTTTCAACCTGGTGTTAAAAAGTCCCCATTTGCTATAGCAGCACAATGTTAGGACCACCCTGGCTGGCAACTATGAAACCTATCTGACAGTGGAAATAACGCCATCAGAATACAATATAGTCTCCATTCCCAGACCTAATGATTTCCAGTTGCAGGGATTCAAATTACATACCAAAGAAACAGTTGGATATGATGATGGAAAGTACTGGTGCCTAATAAGTTTTCCACTTGGTCAATGAAAAGAGCAATAGAAAGGAAAAACAGACCGTTATTTTGGACATTCTAAACGTCGTCTCACCAGTTTTGATTCCATCTGTGGGCAAACTGGACGAGAAGCATCAACTGGATGATGAGGAAGAGAAAACCTCCAGCGGCCCCCACATAACGCCAGACTGAGAGAGAGAGAGAGAGAGATGAGTCAAGGGTCTTTCCCCATACTGTGTGACAAAACAAACAATGCTTTCTGCTAAACGCTAGCTACTAAAAACAAATCAGGAAGCACGAATCATTTAATGACACACCAAACAGCGATAATTGTTTGGACTTTTACATGAAAATGAAATTCACTTGCACACTGATTTTGGGGTAACACATGTTATGCAATCAAAAAAACAACTAATATAAGCAATTTAAGGTAATAGTTTATTATATAATGCATTATTTTAAAGGGTGGTTTTTAAATGTAACAGGTACATGTAAGGTACAAGTAAATTTATGAAAATCATTCAGTGCCATCATCTGTGCCATCTGATTACAATAATATGGTGCTGTCTCAGTAGTATGTTCGTTAAAAGATTTGAGATATACGTCCATTAAATAAAATGTGCTGATTCAAAGATATCACTAAAATGTAAATCTGTTCTATTAATATGATTTGCATAATAGGGTTTAAACTTGTGTCACATTCCTCTAAATATGTCTGTGGTCATGAGGTCACTGACACAGGCGATCGTTTGAGTTACTCAACCGCTTGAGTTACAGCGATAGTTTATGAACCACAAAGAGATGCTTACTGTAGATCCACTGTTGCTCTTGGACATTTAAGAGATGATATCTCAACACTACTACAGGCTCAAAGTAGATATAATCAAACTTTCTAAAAATCTAACAAGCCTCTTTAGGGTGCATGGAAACAATAGCAGCACATGTTTCAAAAAAAAAGTGTGCATGTGAAAACAGATCATACTAAACCTTCTAGAAACGTGTCTTGATTTGGGAGAAAGAATCCGCCTGCACAGCAGCCCAGCAAAGCCAGAAACTTAAAGAACCAGAACCTACAAAGAAACAGGAAGAAAACTGTTACAGATTTAAGACATAATATCCTGAATAAAGGGGAAATATTTATCAGGAAACTGTTTGAAAACAACATTAAGTGTGATATTACTAACTAGGGGTGTAACGATACCCTCATGTCACGATACGATACATATAACGATACTGAACTCATGATACGATATTATTGCGATACTCCAAGATATATGGTAAAAGGTTAACAAAAAAATGTACTGTTGATTAAAATGCTAAATTTGATATTACATTGTAGGTTTAAATGAATAGGCTTGGACTTGTTGCTTCTAACCCAAGGACAATAGTGAATAACAATATTCATGATTCTGAAGCTGAAAATACTGAGTTATTGTAGATGAATATGTTTGCATGCTTTCACTGACTAGATATATTTAAAATAAAATAACGTCACTTTTTACTGGTAACATCAGACATTTGGCATTAACAGAACCCACAAATATTCCCCCATTGCATTATTATACATTATAATCAACATTATATATAGTAGTTCAATGTAGTACTGACACTAAAACTGTGAAAACTTGAATTTTTTCCTCACATAGTAATTTTTATTTTGGGGGGGGGACTATCCACGATACTTATTGTTGCATTTTTGTATTGCGATTTATTGTGGCACGATATTGTTACACCCCTATTATTAACATGTCTAAAAATAAAATACTTGTCACAAGGCTAGTCTGTGTTTCTGCCTAGTTTAATGTTTGTCACAGTCTAGTCTGTTTCTGTATTGTTTCATGTTAAGTAGTTCCCCGTTATGTTTATTAGTCTGTCACAGGTGTTTCCTATTAGCCACACCCTCTTGTTAGCTCGTTTTCTCTTGTATTTAAGCCTGTATGTCTAGTTCAGTCTTTGTGGGTCCTCAATGTTGTTTGTTGGTTTTACTGTTCCTGATTCTTGATTCTTGAGTATGTCTTTGTATAGTTTGAGTGGTATAAATAAAGTCAATCTGCAAATGGATCCTACTACCTCGTCTGCTTCAACCTCACGTGACAATACCTGTATTGAAGTTTAAATTGAATTATTAAAATGATTAAGAAAATATTAATAATCAAAACAATTGTTAATAATTCAGTACATTCATTTTTCACAATGAATAACTTTTTCACAGCAACTTTTGTTTGAATTTGTACTCTCTAAAATCCAGACATCAGTTACCGGTAAATAAATTAATATGATACCGGTAAATAAATTAATTTCTTTATTTAGCAAGAATGCATTAAATTGATAAGTAAAGACACTTATACACAATGTTACAAAAGATTTCTACTTTAAATAAATTCTGATCTTTAGAAATTTGTATTTCTATCCTAATTAATTTTGCCTCCACAACTGTTTTCAATATTGATAATAAGAAGAAATGTTGTCAATATGCAAATGTTCATATTAGAATGATTTATTAATCATGTGACACTGAAGACTGGAGTAATGACCGCTGAAAATTCAGCTTTACCATCACAGAAAAAAATTACATTTTAAAATGCATTAAAATAGAAAACTGTTAGTTTATTCGTAATAATATGTCACAATATTACTGTTTTTTTTATCATATAATTGCAGTTTAGTGGGCATAAGAGTCCTCTTTAAAACAAAATGTAAATGTTTGAACGATAGTGTATATACACACTAAATATATGTCTTGAAAATTATACTTTTCCTGCAGTGTCTTTCTGGGAGTTTGACTCATCTAGTACAAGATTTCCTGTTTACCCTGGTTAGTATGTCATCACAGGGTGGTTTCAGGAAGACCTAAATTAGGTTTTTATTAAGGCATTTGTGCCTGTTTTTCTATAGATGGAGCTGGATAAAACACTGAGTTCAGACATATACTTCCTCACCCCGCATTTGCATACAACACAAAGATCTGATTATTCCAACATGAAGTGCTCTCATGTGGGGCCAAACCATCTCATTCATAGGGATAAAGCTCGTCTCCAAGCGCCATTTCCTCTGGACGGAGTTTTAAATTAATACTTCGATTCAGGGTGAATAATGGAGCAATAGGAGTAGAGTACAGATGGAGGCAGAAGGCCAAACAATACACACGGTGGTCCCTATAGCTCCTGTGAACCTGGACTGAGAGGGGCCACGGAGCAAAGCAGAGGAGGAACAAGCACTGTTTCCAGTGTAAATACCACTTCAAATGTGTTTGGGTGGACAGCTTACCCGTTGTGAACAGCTGCCCGGCATCCTGTGCTGGTTCGCACACAAATGGTGAACACTGAGAAGAAGAAGAAGAAGCAGGCCATGCCGAAACAGACTTTATACACAGCCGAATAGCCCACTAGGGTACTGCAGTTCTCCCCCGCATTGAGCTGATGACACATTTCTTTGTAGAAAGGAATCTGAGAAAAGCACAAAACAATTCAGGGATAAAATTACATTTTGAGCAACAGAATAGATGCAGTCGCCTCAGGGCAAGGCTAAACTTAAACAGAATCTGATCTGTGCGCACGCCCATTTACACTGGAATTCGAAGATCAACTTATATACACAAAGAAATAACACTGTTTTCTTTCAAAGGCTGATTATGTTTTTAATACAAGTTAAAAGTCCCAGATTTTTTATTATTATTACAAGACGAAAAAAAACAAAACAAGTTTGGATTTACTTTGATTATATATGGTTTCACAAGATTCATATTTTTTCATTTTTGGTGAGCATTAGAGACTTTACAAACATTTTTAGAAATCTTACTAATATAGACCATTTTGCAAGATGTAAAAAACACTAGTCCAGAAGCACTTCCTGTTTCAGTTTTTTAACAATACATAAAAGCATAAAAATACATATAAAACTGAATCAGAAAGTTAAACAAACATCTTTAAGATGTTTTCTTTACATGTGAAATAAAGAAAACAGGAAGTGTTTCTGGACCAGTGTTGTTTACATCTTGCAAAATGGTCTATAATATTCAAATTCATACTTCAAAGTACTGAACACTATAGCATTACTATTGTACATGTCCAAAAGCACGGAATTGCCATGTTTTTTTTCTGTAAGAACTTCTCAGGGATCAGCTAAGAGGTCAGTCAAAATTCAAAACCAGCATTTATGGTTCTCTTTTGTGGTCTTGAAGAGAAAGCTGGCACACACTACAGGCACTGGTCAATTCCTAAAATATATTAAGGTTCCCAACAGTCTACAATTTGTAGACCTGTTACAATGCTGGATTGTACTGCAACTATTATTATAATATGGAGCATCATATAATATAAGGTTGTTAAGATGTTCCTCTGTCAGCATTGCAGCGTTTCCTATCCCATTTGCTCTGTCCGTGTGTTGTAACCACGAAAGACCACCAGAGGGGGATTTTATGTGCTCTTCAATTTGAAACTACTATTTGTGAAAAAAGCTTCAACAGCTGTAAATCTTTTTGTGTCTTGGCACCTCAGTGGTCGTTCTTTTGTGCCTCGCCGAGAGGCAGCGTCTTTTTTAGTGTCAGGGTTTTTATACTCATGGCATTTACCCAGTAAGCACTCATTGTGGTGCTGAGAACAAAAAGAGAGCTTGAGCTCATGTTACACACCCAGCCTTTAAGTGCATTTCAACAGCTTTCGGTTACCTTCTTTTAGATAGCTACAGAACAATCAACATGCAGAAAGAGTTTTGCTGTGTTAGATGTTATGAGCATTGATACTCTTACATTCTTTCAATATTGATAATACATTCTTACATTCCTTTCATGCTTTGAAGCAGAAGAGTCATGTAGCTCTCCTTTGTGTTTGTTTGAATAACATGGGCTAGCTGCCTGCAAATAAACCCTTGATCCCTCCATTTACCTTTTCTTTAATGAATTAACGTGTATATATTCTGTCCCTACAAATGCTGGAAATGTCCCCTGAGGTTTTAAAAAGATCTATCCAGGTAGTAGAGGACATAACCTATTAGTAAGGTAAGCATTTAGCTATCTAGCAAAAAAAAACAAAAACTATGAAAACAGCTATGATGGTGACATAGTGGTTAGACAAAGTCTAACAAAAAAGTAAAAAAAAATAAATCCAGATTTACTTTATTTATATAATTGGAGTCTTTAGAATAGTAGTCAGTAATGACACTGCTCTAAGTTTCACAAACCACACTTTCTTCATTTAAAGACAGATATCAGTGAAAAAGATCAACTGTTGATTCAGTATCTATTCTAATGAATGCAGACTGGTTCAAACCAGAAAATACACAGTGGTGAGTCTTAAAGGAGTAGTTCACTTTTTTTCTTTTTTTTTTTTAAACTTTTGCTGACAATTTTCTCACCCCCATGTCATCCAAGATGTCCTTCTTTCTTCAGTCAAAAAGAAATTAAGGTTTTTGATGAAAAAATTCCAGCATTTTTCTCCGAATCGTTTAAAGCCCTTTGAGCAGTTTGCACTGAAACTGTCTTTTGGACCTTGAACCGTTTGGTTCCCATTGAAGTCCATAATATGGAGAAAAATCCTGGAATGTTTTCATCAAAAACCTTAATTTCTTTTCGACTGAAGAAAGAAAGACATGGACATCTTGGATAACATGGGGGTGAGTAAATTATCAGCAAAAGTTTTTTGAAAAGTGAACTACTCCTTTAAAAGAATAATGTTAAAAATCAAACTACTCTTGGATCTCAATGATAGCAATACATTTACAGGAACTAGTTTTTCTAAGCGGCGGAATTTCACTTTGCTCCGGTTAGTAGTCCTGCGCCGAAAACTAAACCCAGAACCGAATCTCGCTACAGTCAGAACTACCTGCACTACCTCTCTCGGTTGTCTAGGTAACTACAAATCACTCCGCCGCTGCTGTAGACTGTGCTAATAAATACAGGGAACAAAGTATAACTATTGGAATGCAATGAAAGGGTAGTTTGATTTCTAACATTATTCTCTCAACTGGCGTTATAATGTATTTGCTTTTGGTCACTGTGGAGTGGGTAAAACTGTTTATAATGGCAGGCTAGCAGTTACCGTTGGCTCGAGCTAGCCTAGCACCGGCGAACTATGCAACTGGAAAGACTGGATATACATTTTTGAAAACTGTCTACACTGATAAATAACACTAAGGCTAACTTGGAAATGAGGCCCGATGTCCAAAATCCTGAACCACCCCTTTAACACATTTAAACCCATTTTACACTGTTCTGCAGATTTTACCCCCCCAAACAGCCCACAGAATATGAATGAAGTACAGTAGGTTTAAATGACTTGCCACCCACTGCTGCTGACCTGAGACCAGATTTAATGGTCTTTATATATGAGGGAACCTGATACTAAAAAATGCAAACTGAGAAGCTCTGAACAAAGACTCACATTTTCTCGCATTGCCGTCTCCACAGTGGGGGACATCATGATGACACAGGTCACCGTGACCAGCATGAAGAAGAGGGCGTACATGAAGCGTGTCGAGGTGGACTGTTTGATCTTGGGACAGCAGCCGCAGCACAGGGAGCAGGCAGCCGATCCACAGCAGCAGGCCAGCTGCAGAAAAACATCAGATGAGTAAGCGGGACATGTGCAAGTGCTTAACAATAACCCTTCACAAACCATTACAATGATTTACAATTAAACAATGGGTTTTAAAGCACATTTGCACACTTAAAAGTATAAAAAGGCAGTGTTACTGTAAACCAATGACAAAGACAAAACAATCTTTATAAGATTAAGTCAAATTTAAATTGCTGCTAAAATAAACCAATGCACTGTTAAATTGGAGGCTGAGGGGGTGTGTGAACATGTTATTGGCCGGTATTCCCTTTAGCAACACAACTGCCTCATTCCTATTGGCTGTAAGGATGTAGTAGAGCTGGGCTGTTGTTACTATGAAGCAGCTTAAATCACATGACGCAAGATACAGACATAACACGAGGCTCTGAGATCAGATTGAGGGGATGCAGTACCAACAAACGTCCCTGGAAATCCCTTTATCTCTACATTTACAGTGTGCAGACATGATCATGCAAGCAGAGAAAGAGAGGATAGAGCTTCAATCATTTGGTGCTTTTCACACAATTACCATCATTTCACAACGGGAACAAATTTTGTATAATATAATGTTTAAAATAATAACTTAAATATAATTAGGGATGCATTTATATTATGTTTATTATGGTATTGAAATTTGGGGAAATACATACAAAACTAGAACCAATCCAATTTTTTTTTATTACAAAAGAAGGTTATCAGATTAATTAACTATGCACCTATTCACCAAGTAATTTACTGTTTCATCAATCAAAAATGTTGAAGTTGTATGATTTAGTTGATTTGTACACGTTAAAATTTATTTACCAACTCAAATATAATAAAACTCCTAAATGTTTGCAATTATTATTTTCCCAGCGAGAAAGTAAATATGATCTTAGAGGATTATGTATATTTAACCAACCACAAGTACATTCTACATTAAGAGAACACTGTTTATCAAATAAAGGAGTTAAATTGTGGAATAGTTGTTGTAATGAGTTAAAACAAGCCACGTCTATTTTTCAGTTTAAAAAATATTACAAGAGAATAACATTGGAAAAATATACAATAGAATAAAAATTAATTAGACAGGCTTGCTTCTGGTGTGGACAATCATGGTCCACTAATGTGTTAATGTTAATTTTATGAACAGATGTTGTCATTAATGAGTTACATTTGATTCTAAAGTTAAGGGCAGGCATAATACGCTTTAGCTTCTGCCTGCACCTGGTCATCTATAGTATTTATGTTTCGAATGTTTTGATGATTTGATTGATTGATTGATTAATTGAATGATCTGTAAATGACCAAACCGAATAAATGAAAATGAAAATGTTTAAAATAATATCTTGGGATATATCGGGATGCACTGATATGACATTTTATATACTGTATATATATATATATATATATATATACAGTATATAAAATGTATATATACTGTATATATACTATATATATATATATATATATATATATATATATATATATATACACACACACACACATTTGTCAGATAAATCTAAATCCAATTTTTTTTATTTTTTAAAGAGCCTGATTACAAAAACACTAATCACACCATGAAAAGCCATGTACCAACTATAATTTTATGCAACCTATTTAAAAGACTTGCATTGTACATGTTGCACTTAAGTGTATTTTCCTTTCGGAAGTGATTTTAATCATACTTCAAGCAATTTAAAACCATCATGGCAACCAGTGTCAATCTGAAATGCGTCTTAGCTGAAGAAATAATACATTAATCGGCTTTAATATATCACTATCAGTCAAATTTTCTTATCGGGCCGATAATGGTAATATCAAAAATGAACATTTACCAGCCGATACCAATATGGTGGCTATATATCACGCATACCTAAATATAATATAATGTAAATGTGTATTATATAGGTTTCTAGATAATACCATTTATGATTTATTCTGTTGCCATTCTCCTATGGTTATTTTAATAATAATTATACAATTATGTGATGTTATATTTTATAAAGTACAAAATCATCAACTCAGAAGTGAGGTTTTTTTAATAAAAATGTTTTATTGCATGATTTGTCAATATTAAAGAAATCATTCATATTTGATTTGGTGTTATCCAAAAACTTGTTTTTGGGATTACTTGTTGGGAATGAGATCTTTATTTTCAACAAGCTAAAAGTTAAGAAATGAATAGGTAGAAATAGGCACATCATATTACTAATATTACTATATGGCGACACAGACAGCAGGAATCACGGCAAAGCCAGGCACACTATTTCCAAAAATCAGGAGGACACATCCCCCTCTCCAGACAGCAGGTGGCCAGCACGTACGACCCTGACTAATGACAGACCCGTTTCTCCACAGCACCACAGAGTCCCACTCATTGGTCAACACCGGTCGCGTGGTGGGACAGCACTCTACATCCTCTCGCAAACAAACCATCCCCCACATCTCCTGCCCCGGAGACAGTTCTCAACCCCCTACAAAGAGCCCTTCTCTTACACTCTCCCGCAACCAGCAGGGGTCTGGGTGAAAGGTGACAGACTACTGGTAAGGAGGACAATAAACTATGGACATTGTTTTCCTGACAATTCGAGCTGGGAATTTCTCAAGCTCCACAGAAGTGTGTGGATGACCTTTATGAAACTGCATCCAAAAGTTGGAAGAACTTTGTGTTGGAGCAAACAGATTCTAGGTTTGTGGTTCTATATAGAACCTTAAAATGTTCTATCAGCGCTACGTATTTGGAACCCCTAAAAGGTTCTATAAACTCTTTAAAAAGGGTTCCTTTGGGTTCTATATAGAACCCTGGGGTTCCGTACTTGGCCAATAGAACCTTTTACCAAAAAAATGGATACATTCCCAACCTGATTGGTCGGCTTGTATGATGTGTTGCCTATTTATATTTAATATTTATATATAAACAATATGAATGTTAGCCAGAGGAGAACTGGCCCCCGACTGAGCCTGGGTTCTCCCAAGGTTTTTTTTCTCCATCCAATCTGATTGAGTTTTGGTTCCTTGCCACTGTTGCCTTGCTTTTGGCTTGCTCAGTTGGGGATATTTAATATTTAACAATATTATTGATCTGTGTTGTACTACTTTCATGTTATCACTGTGAAGCTGCTTTGATACAATCTGTATTGTGAAAAGCGCTATATAAATAAACTTGACTTGACTTGACTATTTTTGTGTTGCCGGAAATTACTGAACATCCAATACTATGCTGTGTGCTGGGCGTTGTATGTACATAGCCTGAGTATTCGTGAAGAGCTTATAAAATGTTTAAAACAGCAGCAGGAATCCCTCCGTCACACACACAAATGAATATCTGCTGCGAGGAGAAGCGCTTCTACATTATTATGTAATACCAAATTTAGGATTTTTTTATTAAACCGTACATTTTACAAACTTTTAATAGGAAATAAAATTAATTTTATAAAAAAAGGTTTGCCTTAAAGTATTGCGATAATATTGTGAATTGTATCGAACCTTGATTAAGTGTATTACAAACAAGCCAAACAAATAATCGGACCCAGTTTAAATTGATCCTTGGTGCATGTTGCAAATGGCCAAGAACATTAAGACACATTATATCACTGAGCTCAAGTACCAATGTACCATCATGTCGAAACTCAGCGGACAATTAATCTATAGTCTCTATGTCATGAATAGCTGCTTTGTGGGTCTGTTAGCCAGGCATTTGTACAGCTGAGGCAAAAATGTATTACTTCACTGTTTGAAGTGTCCACAAAAAAGTGCTGTTTTTTCCCGTGTGAAGAGTACCCATAGTAACACTGAAGAGTCTAACCTTCTTAATCGCATGGCAAAACGTAGATGGATGGATGCCGATTGCTTGACAGCTTTTTCAATTGCAAATACAGAGTAACCTAAAGGCTCATGGGACAAGAGTAAACACCCTCTAAGATGGCAATGGACGGAGAGCGAATGGAGATGCATAAAGGCTGTGTGGAAGGGTGAGAATGTCTCACTGCTACCCAAAAAGTCAACACATTCCTGTCACAAACGGCACCTTTCAGTTCACTAGAAGAAGAAGAAAAAAATCACTAGATGAGATTTGAGGAATGTGTGAAAATCCACATAAATTGTTCCTATAGCATAATGCACATTTTGTTTTGGCCTATTATGGTAATGTTTCATGTGATTGGTGTTATTTCATGAGACACTACACAGTAATTGGAATTCTAATGTGGGAGTTCAGACAAATCAATCAGATCAAAGTAATGTAAAGGCCTGATCAAGAACAGTGTGCCAAAGAAAATGAGATAATGACCCTTCCGGTACAAAGCTGCAACAGTACTGTCTTGAACCATGAACGTTTACAAGGCACAATATTGCTGGGCAACCCGGTCTCATCCCAAGACGTCATATAACTGACGTTTTCCGACGTCTTTTGACCATACGTCAATATTCGCCTTTTTAGGGCCCCCTTAAACGTCGGTAGATGAGGTTATGGGATCCTAACTCTACCCCATACCTAAACCTAGGGCTGGGCGATATGGCCAAAAAAAATTATCACGATAATTTTTTTTATATCAGTCGATATCGATAATTATCACGATATATGTCAAATATTTATTTTTTTCAAGTTTAAAGGCAGATTTTTGCGACTAAGTGAAAGTTGTATAAACCAGAGTGTTAATTGTGTTTTTAAACTACTCTTTAAATTTATGTTTATTAACAAAAACAGTAACATCTGTTTTTTTTTTCCTTTTTTTTTTCTTATGTAACGACCACATTTTTATGTGGTAAAAAGTAATATTCTGACTGTTTGAGTTGTATTCAAATTAACCATTGGTCATTCAGTCTCATGCATTTAGATCATGATAACCACAGATAAAACCAGGTATAGCCTATAACTTAGCTCCTCACTATCATGGCATAACTTTATGGTTTCTGTATTTTTTGAATGAAAAACAATAGCCTAACAGCTAAATAAATACATTATTAAATACTGTACTTATATTCCATTAGTCATAATACATTGTCAACATTAA